GTTCCCTGAGCTGGTTCATACGATCTAAAATTTAAATAATATTATATAAATTCTCGTATAGGTATGCAGTATAAACATTACTTTTCTGATCAACTTTATGATTGTTACGTTTCTATGACCTAGTTCATCCGTTCAATGAAATGAAACTTGTAAGAAAAGAAAATAACACGAATAAATGAAACGACATCGTTGCCTATTTCTGAAATGAAGTTTAATATAAAGTTATAACAGAAGCACTACGCACAAACTAGGAAAACAGAATCATATATATTCAATAAAATGTATAGCAATTATCCTGCCAATAGAACCCCTGTATTGGTTAACCATTGTAGAAAATTTTTAATGGATAACTAACACAGAGACGCTACCTTAAAGTATTGCCGATAAAGTTCCAGGATGAAAACGGTCTAAAAAACACAATCAAAATTGTTTTTAATCCGTACAAACCGTGTTTACCACTATTGTGGTATAGGGATTGTGATCATCTTGCCAATACCATTCCGTACCCAATTGTTTATGCAAAATTGATTTAACTGATTTAACTGGTATATAATACCATATACACATACTCTAGAGAACCACTTATTTTTGGGATATATGTTGATACCAGACTCTATATGTTATATGCGATAAGTTTATGTCTCATTTATTTATGACTCAATCTCAGTAATATTTTCACAAGTGATTCAACTAAAAATCCCAAATTTCTTTAGTTAACAATGAATGCGTTCACATAGATCAATAAAAAAAATGTAATTACTCAATCAATTTATTTACTGAGATCTTTAAAACAGTAGTGATTAACAACAACAAAATTTTATTATTCATTACTTAATTAAATATTTAGCTGATCATACTGCTGCATCGCATATTGCCAAATACTCATCATCAGTGATCTCGGAATTATTTTTTGTATTTAATTATGGTATTCGTAAATAATTTTTTTAGGCTGGAAGTACCAATGGCCAACTCGGGCCCTGCCAAAATTGAAGCTCAGAGTCAGTGTTAAATAACCAACCGATCCAAAGCCGTACTTGATTTGTATATTCTAACTTGGAGTTTTTAATTTATTGTAAAAGTTTATTAACAAATGTCTATTATGTTATATCGGAATTAGAAATGGAATAATTGAATTATTAATTATTTTTATTTTTAAATATTAAATTGTTATACTGTTTATTTTTTTTTGCAGAGTTATTATTTCTTGCATTATTCCTAGTGTATAAATGCTTAATTGGGAACTTAACGTAAGAAAGTTATGTTAATGTTACTCTACGATTCGCTCGAGCTAAATTGCCTCTATATTATAACAATAGTTGCTATTAAGAGACATTGGTTCCTTCGTCATATTTGGTTTTAAATTTCAAATTTAATATAAACTTATTTCGTTTTTGATTAAGCTGAACTCAGGAATTGATCTCATTATTAAACCAAGCCATTTCGTTGAGAGCTGTCAGAAACAATAAATTTAAAATTGCTTTGCCATGTGAAAAATATATTTAAATTATAATTAATAATTCGCAGAATTTTGAGAAACTTAAATCAATGAATTGAGATTTGTGAATGCGATGTGTTCATTTAAATAAATATTAAAAATATGAAAATAAAATATTTCCATCTGTTTGCTCTCTGAAATTGCAGATAATTAGTGGCATCGAAAATGTTCTATTGCCACCAAATTCATTAGCAACAATGATTAATTACAATTGATTGATGGATGGATTTTTGGCATTGATGGAGGGACTAAAGTTGATGGCTCGTTATGTGTAATAAATTTAATGATTAACACGCTTATGTGGTAAAAACTGCTAAAACTATCGTGTGATGCAACAAGCTGACAAGGGATTATGTCCAGCAGTCGAGAACAGCAAAGAGGCCTATCACCAATTAAGTGTAACCAACAAAAACTAATAACTACAAATTAACAATCGATGAAGCAAAAGTACCAACACACGCACACAAATTAGCTTTGTATGCGTATATATATACACTCATTAATTTCCGTTTGATTTCACTTTTATGCCATCTTTAAGAAGAAATCATATCCATTATATGAAGCAAAACGAAAACACCGAAGGAAGGAACAGCGAAAAGAAATGAACCCCAGTTGCACTGCAGGAATCATCATGTACTCTGCCGTACACAAACAACCCAAGCCCATCAGAGCGGTTTCAACTAAATACGGTATAATTAACTATGAACGGAAATTCTGAGAAGTGGAAATATGCGGTAGCTCCTTTGGCAGACGAAAACGAAAAAGGCTCAGCAGCGCGCATAGCATAAATTAACTGCAGTGCAAAGCACATATGACGCTTGTTTGCCAATTAAAAGCTGTAAGCCGCAAAATGTTAAAATTATTAAGTAAAAAAATGGCTGCCTTACTTCAAAAAATGGCTGCTTTACTTCAAAAACTGATACAAAAAATGGCAGCCGAACGTAATTAATTGTGTTTGATGTGATGTCTGTCGGTACAGATGTGTGTGTATGTGTGTGTGTGTCTGCATTTTTTTTGCTACTTAAATTATTGTTCCACTCCAGTTCCCTTAACAGGCAACAAACACCAGAGGCAAAGGCGTTTTCGGGCTTGATTTTTTGATTTTTATAATTAAATGAAAATATTTACAGAAGTCACAGCCGCCCAAATCGTTGATGTGGGTGTGTTCATATATTCACATATGTCATGCATCGCAAATCTGCAAAAATCAGTTACAATTTTCGACATAATTTCTAAATGGGCCAAAACACACATTCTCGCTAACATCCACCGAACACCGAACACAAAACAAATTTATAAATAACTTAATTGATATTTAACTTAATTTTAGCATTATTAACACATTCTGGCATCTTCTATTATTAATAACAAAAATATTTAAATATATACAAAAGATTTTCAAAATATTTAAATATATATGTTTTCAAAATAATTATATATATTTTTTCTATATTTAAATTGATCAGCTTTGAAAGTAAACATTCTGGCACTTTCTGGCATAGAAAGTATTAAAAAAATTAAGTTAAATTAAGTAAACAATAAAAATAATAGTTTAAATAAAAAATAAAAAATAGTTATAGTTAAAGAATATACACAAATAAAAAAAAGTATATTACAGTTGCAGCGAAATGCAAGATAATCATTGTATCTATATACAGGAAAAATAATAACCTGGCACCAAGTGATTACCATCTATTTCTGTCCATAGCGAATGATTTTTCTGGTGGAAATTTCGCTTCAAGAGAAGTTTG